TATCTGCCGTTTGTTCAGAAGAACAAATTTTGACCAATTTTATTACACCAATAAGGAGTAATCACTTATACTTTGCTGAAAACCATATAAAAATAAAGAAGAACAAAGTTTTTCATTCCATTTTCTTGGGGCTTGCTTTAATCCATATAGAGATTTAGTAAGTTTACACACCCTAGAATCACCAGCAGAATAATAACCAGGAGGAAGAGACATATAAACATTCTCAGTTAAATCACCATATAAAAAAGCATTATTTATATCAAGTTGATATAAAGGCCATGAATTCTGAACAGATAAAGAAATAATAATACGAACAGTCACTATTTTCGCAACTGGAGAAAAAGTTTCTTCAAAATCTATTCCCTCTCTTTGGTTATACCCTTTAGCAACCAAACGAGCTTTATATCTTTCTACTTCACCACTGGATTTATATTTAATTTTGAAAACCCACTTACAACCTATTGGTTTTCTATTTTTAGGCAAATTAGTAATTTCCCAAGTATTATTTCGATGGAGTGCCTCCATCTCTTCATTCATTGCCTTAACCCAGTTAGGATCAGTTAAGGCTTCCTTATAATCTTTTGGTTCAACAGTTTTATTTAAGTTTGAAATAAAACATCTTGTATTATTATCTAATAAGGAATAATTGACAGACCTTTCAATACCATATTTATATTTACCTTCAACAATATAATCAGCAAACCTAACAGGCATGTGTGACTCACGTCTAGACCTAGAAAAACCTATAGACTGCTCAACAGAAGGAATTAATGGTGACTGACTACTTTCCTCAGAAAAATCAGAAAAAGAAGGAACAAAACCAACAGAAGAAGGCACAACTACCTCGCCACTACGATTGACAATATCATTAGAAATATTATCATCCAGGTGAGTGGCTACATCAGCACCATCCAACTGTGACTCTACTCTCAACTCATCAGGGTCAATAGAATCATTTAAGTATTCCTTAGTATCAAAAACATCATAGGAAAATGGATCACTAGGGCCAAAAATATGTACAGTTTTGTCAACATTTGTTGACTTTAACTTGTAAGGAAAAACAGACTCATAAAATTTCACATCCCTGGACATAAAAGAAGTGTTAGTATCCAGACTAAAAAGCTTATAAGCCTTTTTATCAGATGAATATCCTAATAAAACACATTTTTCAGCACGCTCAGAAAATTTATCATTAACATTTTGTTTGACTGCAAAGCAAAGGCAACCAAAAATTCTCAGATGATCGAAATTAGGAGTCTTTTTAAAAACAAGTTCATAAGGAGAAGACCCATTTAAAACTGAGGTAGGCATTCTGTTTATCAAAAATACTGAAGTTAAAATAGCATCTGCCCAAAACCTTAAAGGAATTGCTGATTGAAACAAAAGAGACCGTGCAACATTAAGAATGTGCCTGTGCTTTCTTTCCACAACCCCATTTTGTTGTGGAGTATAAGCACAGGAAGTTTGATGAATGATACCTCTTTCTATACAAAAACATCTCATTTGATTATTAACAAACTCAGTACCATTATCAGAACGCACAACCTTAATATTAACACTGAATTGATTCAATAAAATATTCACAAAAGATTTAAAAGAATCAAAAACTTCACTTTTAGACCTTAAGAGAAAAACCCAAGTAGCCCTAGTAAAATCATCAACAATAGTCAGAAAATACTTAAAACCTTCTACAGAAGCAAGTCTATAGGGACCCCAAACATCTAGATGAATTAATTCTCCTAATTGAGTTGAACTATGTTGACTAAGAGAGAAAGACTCCCTAGTCTGTTTGGCCCTGTGACACACATCACAAGGGGGAAGAAATTCATTTCCTAACTTCAGCTTATCTTTTAATGAATTTAAAGCTTGGTCAGCCGGATGACCAAGTCTGCTATGCCAAGTTAACTTTGAAACACAACATTTAGAATTATTTAGACTAACTGAATTACCTGAGGGAACATGATCTAGATAATACAGTCCCCCAGACTCTCTACCATTCTCCACCATCTTCTTTGATAGTGAATCCTGAATTTTACAGTTATGTTCAGAAAAAATTACCTCACATCCATTATCCTTACACAATTTATGTACAGATAAAAGGTTAACATTAAAATCAGGCACAACAAACACATCAAACAAAGTAAGATTAGAAGATAAGTGAACATTTCCAATCTTATTTATTGATGCAGAAGAACCATTAGGATGTTTCACAAGAAGATTAAGTTTAGACACATCCACAGTGTCCTGGAGTTGTGACTCTGAGGCAATCATATGTTGATTTGCCCCAGAATCAACAATCCAACTTTGAGAATTATTTAAACTAACACAGGAATTAAAACAATATGTTGATGTACCTGCCATATTTGCAGCAACAGATACATCCTCACTAGCAGAGTTCTCATTTATAAGACGAAGAAATTTAGAATACTGTTCACTAGTAAGATAGTGACAATCACTACTAGGAACAGAACCAGAAGAAACTCCAGAATCGTTAGTTGGAACAACAGAAGAAGCATTCACAGGAAAGGACTTATTTTGATTATTATTATCATTCTTAGGTTTAAAATCTTTTGGATAACCAATCAATTTATAACATCTTTCTATAGTGTGACCCTTAAGATTACAATGCTTACATTGTAACCCTAGATTTCTAAACCTGTTTTGACCTTGACCCCTTTTTGAATCAGAAATTTTACTATTAAAAACAGAAACTTGGGGTTTTGAAGAAGAAACAGAACTTAGAGAACCATTTTTTTGAAGAGATTCCTCTCTAGAAAGAATTGAAAAAGCTGTTTTAACATTAGGTAAAGGTTCCATTAAAAGAATGTGACTTTTAACTTGATTATACACATCATCAAGACCACTCAAAAACTGCATTAATTTCATCATTTTAGAATGATCATTAAGTTTAGTAGCAGCCACACATACACATTCAGTTAAACTAGTCAAACCATCAAAGTCTTTCCACAATGAGTCAAGTTTATTATAATATTCAGAAAGAGAAGAACCATTATGTTTTAAGGTATTTATCTGCTGATGGATATTAAAAATTACTGAACCATCAGCCTTATTATAAGTTTCAAATAATTCATCCCAAATATTTTTAGCATCATCAGAATGAACATGACTGGCATATATAGTCTATGAAATTGAACCTAGCAACCAGTTGCACACAACAGCATTTACACGTTCCCATTTAGCACTTTTAGTATTATCAATTTTTTCCCGAGTTAAAGTTCCATCTACAAATCCTAGTTTATTTCTGGCCTTAAGGCCTCTAGTCATAGCACTACGCCATACTCGAAAATTTTCGTTTCCAGTCAATTTTATTGTAATAATAGAAGTAACTGAATTATCAGATGGATGAATGTACAATGGGTCATCAAAATCAACAGGAACCTCCTTGGGAGTATCACTCCCTTCAGAAGTTTCACCAGCCATGACTAATCACAAGAAAACACAAGAACCAAGCAACAATGAACACAAACAAAAACTTAAAAAACAGACGCCTGTGTGACTTAAAGTCCAGATGGTCACCACTGTTTGTCGGGGCCCAAGACAATCAACACAGAGTCTAAATCAGAAAACAAATTAAAGACGTAAAAAAACTAGACCAATCAAGGAAGCAACAAGTGTAAACTAAAACAAGTAATCAAATAAGCACATATATGTCAGAACTCACGCATGTATGATGAAAGAGTTGAGAAGGGAACTAGAAATTGCTCACAGTGATACTTAAACAGATGTTACAAGGCAGAAGACCGCTCACCTCCCCTAGGGTTGTTCCCTATCATGATTATTTCAGACACTAGTCCGTTCCCTGACAGAGAACTTAACCTTTTGCAGGGATTAAATGAGCAGACAAGAAAGGCTGAGAAGTTTTTTTTTTTTAAGATCGAACCACAGATCCTCAAGAATCGGTCAATATCATGAAACTGCAAATGAAAAAGCAGCTTCGCAGTAACTTGTTTCTTAACAAAGAATGTAATCAACAAACAAACGATCTGAAGATGATCGAACTCAAGAAAACACACAAAAGAAAAAAAAATAAGACGAACCTGTGCAAGACCGTCTTCAAATCACCAAGATCTTCAACAAATACTACACCGTAGCTCTGATACCATGTTAATAAACATACAACTACTACTTTCCCAACATCTTCATTTCTTATATCATTTTAGGATAAAGAAACAGAAGGTTTTCATGTACTTACAAAAGAACCTCACTACATAAACCCTAATCTACTCTCGTAACATAACACTCAAACCCTAAACTAAAACGCAATCAGAAAGTGTAAGTATTAAGCTCTAAATATCTGAAACAAATGATCAACAAGAAAAGAACTACAAAACACTCTGAACTATGAACGATTTCAACAACGAGAAACCCTTAAACTCAGAGAAACCCTAATCGCCTTACACAGCTCCAAGAATGAGAAGTGAACGAGAGACCTTTCCAGACACACTCTCTCTCTTCTTTTATTTGTTAGCAACCCGGATCCAACCCAACTCTCTTAACCCGCTTTAAGATCCGCGTGTGCATTTTCCTGTAAAAACATTTAACTCCAGAAGAACACAATTTATACACTTTACACCCTTTAAGTTATAAATAAATATGAGATTGAAAATAATTGAATTTCCCTTACTTTTCAACATCTTCCATTTTTAAGCTCTTTAACCTTCAATTCAGCAAAAGCTTCCGGGTCATCAGCCAATCCAAGCGGGTCAAAAGACCCACCTGGATAAATCTTATCAAGAGTCAAGAACTTCGCCAAGCGGGCCCCCACCAACCCGGTATCCTTCAATGAGCCCCATGAGGACAACTTGAGATGCCCAGATAGCAAGAATGCTCTGTGCATGGATCAAATTAGGGTTTCCAAGGTAGTCAAGGCCACCTTCTGAGAAAATCTGGGAACCAGCCACCGAATGTGACACCGTTTTTGGAGAGAAGCTCGGGGAAGACGCACCCGAGTGTACCGAGCATGGCCCACCGAGAGTGAATCACTTCGAGCTCACGGTTCTTGGCAAATGTGCTGAGAGTCCGGCGGTGTCCCACCCGTAATCACCGGGGAATTCACCGGTCAAGTATGATGGGGTTTGCTCGGAAAATGGGCCCAAGTACTTTGGACGATCTGGTCCATACCTGTTTAAAGATGGTGATTACAGTTAGTTTAGTTAGTTCTGGTAGCGATATATGAATTTGGAAATAAGAACGCCATCGATTTGTGAATTTTACCAAATGCTTTGTGGTCATGTGGTGCACTTTTGACTGTGCGACGCATGGTGAAGCGGCCGCCATTGAAGCTGCCGGTCTTCCTGACGAGCTCGTTCTGTGGCTTCAAGGCCTGTTGGCCGGCGAATGATGACTATATGGAATTTACAAAGGCTGTTGGATTAGGATGAGTACACGCCAGCATCGTTTTATTGGTATACTGGATTTGGTTTCTGATTTTGAGGGTGAAATGGGTTCTTTTGCCATGTGGGTCTCGAATTTCTTGTGCGTTGATTTGAGCCACAAAAAATTAAAACGAGAAATAATAAAGCAAATTACAAATATGATGTGTTTAGCTATTATTTATTAAGGTTTGTTTTTTTTTTCTTTGCCAGTTTTGTCATTATTTCATTGTTTTATAACATTTTTGGTCCTTATATCATTAAATTTAACAAGAGTAAACATTATGAAAGGTCATGTGTTTATGCACTTTAGTTTCGGCATTCTAGCATTGAACTCTATACAATTTAATGAATTACCACATCATGAATTTTACTTTACATTCAACTTTATCATTTTTTCAACTCTATAAAGTTTAATGAATCATATTTAAGAAAGTTCAATGATCGTTGAAGTTCAAAAGCAACATCCAAGAATTGATGAGTTTAATACAATGCAAACTAGACATTTCCAGTTTATTTAACTTTTCCATTAAACCATGCATCATGGATGCTCTTAATCAAAATAAAAATCTTATTCTAAGAAAGGTGCTTATTGTTAACCTTCACTGTACCATCATGTCAACAATGACAATTTGTTCACGTTGTATATTTGACATAATATGAACATGTCATGGACTTCTTAACACCCACAAAAGTGATTCTGTGATTGCCTAAAAATGTATTCTTTTTCACGTATCAAAACATATAAATCACAGACCCAAAAAACCTAATTTTCCTATATACACTAATTTCAATCGAGGTTGATGCTGAAGCTAGAAATTTGTTAGTATGTTGTGATGAATTTTTTTTGGGTACTTTACAAATTTACCTAAATGAGCTATAAAGATCAATTTCAACATTTTTTTATGTTGAACCTACGGTCTCCCTTTTTGTCACGTTGTAGCAACCATTCTCCATAACAACCTACTTTGCCTACTGTGCCATGGCGCCCATACACCATGCTGTGGAGCAAAGTACGTTGCCCATGACTTGTGACGAAGGAACACCAAAATTACCGCCTCACTCATCGTGCCGTGGTGAGGCTGGAAACAACCTTTCCATTCCGTTTTTAATGCCATTCAATCCCAATCTCATTTATGTCAACTCTATTCCTTTCTTCAACCAACATAACACATTTAACAACTTCAAAACATAATATCATCCAACAATTTTAAATATCATCTAAAGGACCAAAATACCCTTTACATCAAAAATATCATTCTACAATATAAATATCTCAAAAATCTCGGTTCTTATAGTATCTCTAAGGCCCCATTTTGTTTACCTCTTAATTAAAAACTTAAGAGGTAACCTCTTAAAAATTCAGATGTAGCTCGTTTGGTAACCTTTTAAAAATATATATGAGTTGGATAAAAACTCTTAATTTTTCAGACTTGTATCCGCATTTGAAAAAAAAATGACAAAACTGATGTAACACCCCAAATTCCAGAGTAGCTGTTGAAGTGATTAAATTGTAAATTAAGGAAAGGGACTCGACGAGTAGGCATGCTTACTCGCCGAGTCGGAGTGGGATTTATCGCGGGTTTAAGTGGCCAACTCGCTGAGTCGGCGGCTTGTACTCGATGAGTTGGTGCTGAAGGGAGAAAACCCTAATCCCGGGGGTTGTGCCATATATAAAGCACATTATAACCCACCCTCAGCCTCTTTGCTACCCTTTTGAGATCCAGAAGCCCTAATTTCATTTGTAAGAAGACTTGCAAGTAATTTGGTGTGATTTGTGAAGGAATCTTGAATATCAAGAAGCTTGGATCAAGGAGACTTGAAGAGATCCGGGTTATACTTCAGTGGGAGATCATTTTGGATGTATTGGATTTTGAGGCGGTGCTTCGGGATTATGCTCTCGTGATTCGGTTCGATAGTTGCAAGGTGAGTTATTCTCACTATACTAAGGGGTCTAAGGCACCAAGGCCGACCCATTGGATTTGATATCCTAGTAGTTATTGATATGTTGAGTTGAGTTAGTGATGAATGCCAGTTGATATGCTAGTCGGGTAGATCTGTAGGACTGCCTGTGATATTGTATGATTATTTGTATGTGCATTAGTCATCATACATGTCGACATGTTATGTGGGATGGGTTGAGGTTGTACTGCTCCGTGCGGTAGCCAACAAACCCTAGAGTATTCCAGATATGAGCTGAGGGTCCGGTAGGCATTCCAGACTCATATTGAGGACTCGGGAGCATTCCAGATATGAGTTGAGGGACCGGTAGGCATTCCAGACTCATACTGAGGACTCGAGAGCATTCCAGATACGAGCTGAGGGCCCGGTAGGCATTCCAGACTCGTACCGAGGGCTCGATGGCATTCCAAATAGGAGTTGAGGGCCCGATAGGCATTCCAGACTCATACTGAGGGCTCGATGACATTCCAAATATGAGCTGAGGGCCCGATAGGCATTCCAGACTCGTACTGAGGGCTTAGGGGGTAGTCCAGCTTGAAGAGCTGTGGACCCAGTGCATGTTGTTCTGTTGAGTTTGTAATGTTAGGATATTGTTGATATCGTTATGTGGACTGTATGTGTACCGGTATTTTGTGTAACATCCCAAAAATACAAGCCAAAATTTTCATTTTTAAATACGTCATTATAAAACCAACAGTGTAATAAAACATCCGTAATATCATGTCATGTCAAAACCAAAGTAGAAATAATCAAACGTGTTATCATAAAATAATATCAGAGTGTAATCCCAAAGATCTCATGTGCGGAAAACCATAGTGTGATGCGCTGCAATCGAGCCGGCTCCTTTCCTTTAGACACGAAGTACCTGAAACCAAAACTGAAAACCGTAAGCACAAAGCTTAGTGAGTTCCCCCATCATACCACATACCATAAAATCATATCACATACATACTGCCAGGCATTTCTGGGGTGCCTGACCTACCCGGTACGACCATTCTAGGGTGCTGACCTACCCATGCGGCCATTCTGGGGTGCCGTCCTTCCCGTGTCAAGCCATTCTGGGGCGCTGACCTACCTATGTCGAGCTATTCTGGGGTGTTGACTACCCTTCGGTCCTAACAACCGAACCTTGGGGACTATTTCACCCCTACTACTACTATCACATATAACATAACACAAACATAATATCAGACATATTTGGGGTGCCTGAACTACCCTTCGGTCCTAACAACCGAACTCGGGGACTGGTCCCCTCCTACTACCTCTATCGCATATAACATATCATGTAGTAGCAAACCTATATGATATCACAAAGACAATCATCTATCATACATCTCCTACTGGTGGGCCGGCATTGTGGCCTTAGACCCACCGCTACTGGAAGGTAACTTACCTCACACTGCTGAACTCCCGAAGACACAATCCCACACTCGCTGAAGTCCCGCAGACTCGACCCCAGCTGCTGGCTGACAGATTCCCGAACTGTCAACACCAAAATAACACCCAATTAATAATTGGGTCCCAATACATAACCATAAGTACATTCTTTGGGTAATTACTACATTACCCCTAGTTTGGCTTATTCAAGCCCAAGGCCCAATCTATAAGCCCAAAGTCGACTAGGAATCAAAGCCCAACGCATGGCCCAATTTTCCAAATTGGGCCTAAGGCTATACATGGTCTTATTCTAAGGCCCAACATCATATAATCATTAAGGCCCAACTATGGTCCATCTATGGCCCAATTTTACAAATTGGGCCCAACCCCTTACGTGGGACTTACCTTAGGCCCATTAAATCATTTTAGTCCATATAATTATTCTTGGATGGCCGATTATTAATCCAATCATCAAGGCCTAATAGAAAGGCCCAACAATAAACCCAAGTGAAATTAAGGTGTCACATAAAATGATGATTAGGGTTAAGTTTCCTACTTAACCCATTAAGGACTTAACCCATTAAGTCCATTATCGCTTAGATTAATCTTTGCCAACGCTTATTATTTAATATCTCAAGTTATTAATTAATTCTCGTGTGTCCCGATTAATACCCCAAATTAAGATTTACTGGCATTAGGGTTTTCCAACTCAAATACTAGCCCATTAATAATTTGTTGGACTTTTAGGTTATTTAGGCCTTTATTGGGCCGATCAAGCCCACTAGAATGTCATCAAGCCCATTAGGGTTATATTGGGCCCATTAGAGCTCATTTGAGCCCATTAGGGTTTCACTAAGCCCATTAGGGTTTCTAGCACCCCAAACGAATCAATCACAAGAGGCAAAACGCACCACCACCCGACACGGCGGTCGGTGGCGGCAGCCACCACCTCACGGTGGTGGTTTCGAATTCCTTTCTCATTATTCCATTTACAATTACAAGAAAATACCAAAAGCAACACACACACACACACACACTAAGTACACCCACCCACGGTGGTTCATGGCGGCAGCCACCACCTCATGGTGGTGGTAGTGGTGGCCCTAGGCTTTCCGGCCAACAATAGATCACACACAACACTCCCAAGACCGGAAACACACATACACACCCGATTGAAACCGGTAGCAACAATTTCACACGAACATTCACCCATGAACACACCCACAACCACCAGGTGGCACATGGTAGCGACGGCAGAAGCTTCGAGATGGTGACAATAGCGCGGCCTAAGAAGGGGAAGGGGAAGGAGGCTGGTGGACGCTCAATGTTCGCTTGGTGGCTTAGAGCACACGATGCCGGAATATTCTGGTGCTCCCCCGACAATCTGTGACCTCGACAATGAAGTAGCGGTGGCCAAAAGGTGGCAATCAGACCCCGGGGATGCAACGGTGGCTGGGGAGATCGTAGAAGCGAAGTGGCAGCAGCTACACTTGGTGAAATGGCCCCGCAAAGGTGATGTCCGTCTTGAGATCCAACCACGAACCTTCGACTGGATCTTTCCAATGGTGGCGTCGATCTCAGCGGTCCTTCTCGGCAAACCGACATCCGGCAATGGTAGAGATGGCGAAGAGGAAGGCAGGCGACGGCTGGAGTGTTCATCAATGGTGGCGGCTAGTGAAGCATTAGGGTTAGGCGTGTTTAGAGAGAAAACGGGAAAGAAAGGAATGACGGGTTTAAGTCTCGTGTTCCTTTCAAACTTTCATCCTTTTGACAAGTTTAGTCCCCCAACATCATAATTATGACATAATCAACCCTTCCACCTCATTTCCTTTTTAAATTAAATCCAAACAGTTACCACGGAACCCTTATCTTCATAAATATTTACAAATTGAGTCCGGAACTCACACTTTTAACCCCTGACTTCTAAAACTGTGACAATTAACTCCTCGAAACTAACACCCTGCATATATAATTATTTGTTTTAGGGCTACGAGCCATTCATTAATTAATTTATTTATTAAATAAATAAACGGGGTTTTACAACTCTCCCCCACTTAAATTAGATTTCATCCTCGAAATCATTCCTTGCCAATTCTTACATACCAAGCCACTCTAGTAACATAGTCATCATCCTGGGTACGCCCTAGCCTTCCCAGGATAGCCATGACCAATCCTCGTAAAGCCCTAAATTTGCAGGTGTTGAATTCCTTACAACAAGACCACATGTACTCTGTCCGAAATCTGCTGTCTCGAGATGGTCTGAATCCCTGAAAGACCACTCATACTAAATCATTATCGTTGAATCTAGCATGTTTATCTCTCAACTGACTACTCGACCTCTGATAGCTTTGGGTCCTCACTATAAAACAGGTGCACAGACCCAATTATCCCTGCAAACCACTTACACTTAGCCAAGGCTCAGCTAATCTCGCTGTGAGTGACTTGTCACTCCCCAAATTCTCTAGCTATTCCGCCCAAACTTGCAACCCTAAACACAAATACTAATATTGCCAATCATCGAGCATTCCGAACATTGAACTGCCTGAAGTGGTATGCCGCCACATGGCTGCTTTCCAGAGTCTAACGAGACCTGCCTGGTCTCAATTCGTTCACCAACCATCTGAAATACTGGGTTCCGGCTCGGCTGCGGAGCCAAAGACCTCCCACTTAGTCGCCTCACACGACTTCTAAACGAGATCCTTCTCTGGAACTAGTTGCCACTAGTTATCATGTCATTGTGGCTCTAACAACCTCTTGATCTAACCGATCGGGTCCATGCGTCGCATCCTGTTATCATCCAATCCAAGACTAAAAGTGATTGCTACTTAACCAACGGTAGCCGTACATCACAAACGCCCTTAAGCAGTCCATTACTTCCCTGATCTCATAACTGTAGTGGCGTTTCTACGGTCTTATCACTTGCTCAACCAGATCTAATCTATCTGGGTAATACCAAAATCCAATATGTGGATTTCCATATACTCACTGTTGCACCCGAACTGGTGGGTACTACCATTCCTTCTGCGTCCTAACAACGCGCTCACACTATCTACTAACCTAGTGAATGATGCGGCTACACCTGCAATCTCACAACACTCTATCATTATATGACCGCTAGTGAATGCTACGGCTACCCCCACAGTCTTACAACACTTTCCATACTATCTGATTACTAGTGAATGCTACGGCTACCCCCGTAGTCTTACAACACTTTCCATACCATCTGACTACTAGTGAATGCTACGGCTACCCCCGTAGTCTTACAACACCTTCCATACCCTCTGATTACTAGTGAATGCTACGGCTACCCCCGTAGTCTTACAACACTTTCCATATCGGGTCGGACACGCACTCGACCTAACACATCAATGAACTAGAGTCCTAACTGGAACTCTGACATGGTTCCCGAAACCTGCTATCATGTGACTCCACTGTATCAGTACCGTACCCATGCCCGTGATTAACACCTCACAGTAAACCATGAAATCATCTACGCCCTCTTGTAGGGTGAGAATCAGTGCCTGGCACAACCACCGTCTGGGAGTCTCGAAGGCTATCTACTGCTCAGGCCCCCAACGAAAGGTCACCGACTTCTTGGTCAGTCGGGTCAAAGGAACCTCAATCTCGGAGAAGTCCCATATAAATCTCTGGTAATAACCCGTTATACCCAGGGAATTCTGAATCTTAGATGGAGACCTCGGAACCTCCCATTGCATCACGCCCTCAATCTTGTCCGAATCAACTAGAATATCCTTCTGGTTGACAAGGTTCCCAAGAGATTGCACCCCACACAACCAGAACTCACATTTGGAGAGCTTTATAAAAGTCTCTCGCCCACTTAGATTCGACTAAGTATTCACTGCACGCAAGAATTGAAGGATTTCCAGTCCTTCCCGCTTCCTGGTATCCCCTTGATGACAACCTGTACTTACCAGTGCTAGCGTTTAATCACCGATTAAACCTTGAGATCACCCATCCTCGGAAATCTCGATGAGTACTCTTGAAATCTGATCCAGTCTGACACCTCAGTCCATCTAACATGCTGTCAATTGAAGACCTCAATCTTCACTCTAGCTGACGAATCCTCGTTCTCATTTCCAATCTTGCAGTACCACTGAACTCTAACCAAACACAACCCATGCGAAAACACAATTCTCTTGAACATCCAGTGACCAACCACTTATGCATCTAACACCTGCGACTGACACTACCCTCTTCCTGTCACCAGTTCTATCCTCACAACGGTAGTGCCTTGAACTCCAAGGTTCATCCATAAACAATTATCGACCATACCTAAACAATGATAGAACCTTCGAACGCTGACTTCATTGGAGAAGAATCACTCCAACCCTGATCGAGTATCCTCTAAATAATACTCCTGCATAGGTCCCGACAAAGATCCGAAATGATAATGGTATGCGCGGAAGCCACTCCGCAAGATGCGCCCCTCTTTGGGTTCATCAAGGACTTTTCGGCATGCAGGGTGGCATATATGATCCTTGATAACCCAAACACTAGCAGGAAACCGACCCGGGATCTAACTTATCCAAACTCACTCGCAATTCCAACGCGATACGCATCCCCAACATCCATCTAGTAGCAATAGAAGATGACATACTCGCAACATCTGGGGAAATACTGGTCACCTTCTGCTGATATGACCAATCCTACTACCCTGTAGCAGCCTAAACCCTTGGAGTGACAAACTCACTTGTGTACCTTCTCGTACGCGCTGCCCTGACTCAGACCCTGCTGGCCTCTCACCTGATGTTCAGAAGTCATGGGTCTCTTCCCGAGACCCCTACTATATGCACCTGGCACACACCTCTCTTTCCAGGGTGCTCCCAAATCGATCCCGCATCTGCAACTCTGGGAAATCATATCCTTCAGGGTCTGACACCCTGTCACGCTCACTAGCTCGCTTGCCAATGGCTAAGCTGCAACAACTAGAACATCCTCTGTCCCCAAACTGGGTCACAAACTCTTCCCTGAAGCGTCTTAGATTCTCCAAGACTCTCACTGATTCGAGTATGGATACTGTGCTTTCCGTAGTACGGGCCCAATACTACCTTCCACACCTATCCATTCTTTCCTCAGCAATCCTCTCGGATCCTCCAAGTCAGTTCCTCAACTGGTACGCCCAAGTCTAACTGAGCCTCACTACTTACTCACTGAAATATATCCTAGGCTTCCCTAGGTTCCCTAACTCACCCAGTCCTCAGCTGCCGAAAGATTCCTAGTAATGTCAACTAGCTACCTCATGAATATAGCCACATGCAACAGAGATCAGATAATCCTTCAAGTAACAGACTCATCCCTATAACGGTTAGACTCAAACGAGAGCTGCGCAATAGGGTCAAATCTCACTCTGAGATTATCCAGCCTGTGCCACATGTGACTTAGCATATTCACTTAGTAGTTAACTCACATTACTAAGAGTCCTACAAAGCACTAAGCAAGCAGCATTCAGATAATGGAAAATCTAACCATCATATTCCAGTCAAATCATTTTATCCTCTAATCAGGAATCTGTACATGCAATTAAAAGGCTCATACAATCAGGCATAACCTAAACAGGCTATCCTATCACTGACTGATCAGTATTAGCATGCAAGTCTACAAGCACATATAATAGGCATATAAGGCATCCTCTTAGATCCTTAACCCTAATCTAGCATGCAATTCTCATAATCATATCGTAACATAACATATCATAGCATGTATGGGTATCTTGGGGAAAACTTACTTGAGCTCGGCTGATTGCATGCATCACACACTTTGTTCTTCTCAAAGTTCCTTTCTCTTTTCAGATTCCTTTCAAACTCCTTTTTATAAAATGGTTTTACTTTTGAAAATTTTCATACCAAGCCCTTAGTTTGAGTTTAGATACACCCGAGAGTATGTCCGAATCCCTCAAACCAAGGCTCTGATACCAACTTGTAACATCCCAAAAATACAAGCCAAAAATTTCATTTTTAAATACGTCATTATAAAACCAACAGTGTAATAAAACATCCGTAATATCATGTCATGTCAAAACCAAAGTAGAAATAATCAAACGTGTTATCATAAAATAATATCAGAGTGTAATCCAAAAGATCTCATGTGCGGAAAACCATAGTGTGATGCACTGCAATCGAGCCGGCTCCTTTCCTTTAGACACGAAGTACCTGAAACCAAAACTGAAAACCGTAAGCACAAAGCTTAGTGAGTTCCCCCATCATACCACATACCATAAAATCATATCACATACATACTGCCAGGCATTTCTGGGGTGCCTGACCTACCCGGTACGACCATTCTAGGGTGCTGACCTACCCATGCGGCCATTCTGGGGTGTCGTCCTTCCCGTGTCAAGCCATTTTGGGGCGCTGACCTACCTATGTCGAGCTATTCTGGGGTGTTGACTACCCTTCGGTCCTAACAACCGAACCTCGGGGACTATTTCACCCCTACTACTACTATCACATATAACATAACACAAACATAATATCAGACATATTTGGGGTGCCTGAACTACCCTTCGGTCCTAACAACCGAACTCGGGGACTGGTCCCCTCCTACTACCTCTATCGCATATAACATATCATGTAGTAGCAAACCTATATGATATCACAAAGACAATCATCTATCATACATCTCCTACTGGTGGGCCAGCA